GGGAGCCGTGCCCCCGGAGGGGAGGGCCGTCAGGCTCCTGGTCCTGCGACGGCGTGCCAGCCCCGGGGCAGTGGGGCTGGGCGCGCCAGTCACCAGGAGCATGGGCTGAGGGATGCCAAGCACGGCGGGACTGGCCAAGCCGCGAAGGCGTGCGCATTTCCTTCGGCGGAACCCTCACCGAAGGCTCCCGAGCGTGGGCGGGGGGCGGGGGGTGCTTGGCCCGGTCACTGCCTGAAGGGTCCGGAACAGAGCGCCGTGTGGGTTTCTGCCAGTCGAGGGGCGTCCGTGGTGGGGGCCACTGCGTCCTGTATTGGCAGCAACACTTCTCCTGCTGCTCATGGATGATCTGGAGTTGGGAATGGCGGACTGTGAGGTGCTCCGGAAGGCGCTCGCCCTGCTGGGAGAATGGGGTCGGGGGGGGCAAGTGCAGGCCAGCGTGGGCAGAGCAGGGGGGGTGCTGGTGGGATCTGAGCAAGCAGCGGCTGAGCAAGGACGGGATGGGGGGGGCAGTGCTACGAACACGCCGACCCACCGCAGGGCTGCCGTGAAGAAGGCCAGCCCCCCAGGCGTAACCGGGAGGGGCCAATGCTCCACTCGGGTCCTGCAAGGCTGTGATGCCGCCCATTAGCACCACATTCTCTGGGTGGCTGTTACAATAAAATTCTAAAATTATATGTATACATAATCAAGTGGCAGGTAAAACTAATGCAGTTCATGCATTACAGATGGTAATCTAAGTGGTACCATAGCTGCCCTGGAAAAGAAGTTTTGTCAGGTGCCTGAAGCTCAGCAAAGTGGGTGCCTGGCGGATCTGCAAAGGTAGAGCTTTCTGCAACCGGGGGCCAGCGCAGGAAAGGCCCTGCTCCTCACAGCCTCCGGCTTAACCTCCTTAGGCAGAGGAACTCATGGGACGGCCTCCGTTGGTGACCTTGAGCAGCAGTGAGACGCTCCAAGAATAATGTGGTCCCAAACCGCTTGTGTGCCATGGCCAGCCCTTGAATTCAGCCCGGATTGGAACAGGCAGCCAGTGCTGCCTCTGGCAAGGGGTGCAGTGTCCTCACCAGCAGCTGCACTGCCCTGTTCTGGGTCACTGGAAGAGCCCAGCCTGTCTGCAAGGGAGGCCCCACACACAGTGCCCTGTGGCAGTCAAACCCGGAGGCTACCAGTGCATGAATGACCCGGGCAAGACGACCCTCGTCCTAGTAGGAGTGCCGCTGGTGGATGAGCTGGGGAGGATGAAAGCCCGTCCTGGCAGCCGAGTTCACCTGGACAAGCAGGGAGAGCTCGGGGTCCAGAGCACCCCCAGACTATGAGCTTGGGCCTGTGAGGGGGGTGCAGCCCTGTCCAGACAGGTTTACAGTCGAAACGGGTCTTGTCAGGCTGAGCTTGAGCTTACTGGCCTTGTCCAGCTCATTGCTGAGCCCAGATGCTGATCAACGGTGGAGGTCGCCCCAAGAGAAGAAGAGGGAGCTGAGCGTCATCCGCATATTGATGGCAGTTCAGCCCAGCCCTCCCAGTGCGCTCCCCCAGCGGTTTCATGCGGCTTTTGAAGACCATGGGGGACAAAATCGGACCCCGCGGTACTCCAGGAGATGAATGTCGTGGTGCAGAGCGATGATCCCCCGGCAGCACCCTCCAGAGACGGTGCGCCACGTCGGAGCAGAGCCCGCGCGGCGCAGGGCCTCTGACTCCCCACCCGGCTAGACGCTCCAGAAGGGTGCCACGGCCAATGGTCTCGAGGGCCCCCAACGGGTCGCACTGCCCCTTCTCCCTCCCAGGAACGGTCATCCCGCAGGGCAACCACGGCAGGCTCAGTCCCACCGCCAGGCCTGAAACGGAGCAAGACCACCCGCTTCCCGCAAGAGCGCTTGGAGTGGCCCGGCCCCCGCCTGCTGGACCGCCTTGCCCAGGAAGGGGGCAGTGCCCGTCAGCCGTTTCCGACATGGCAGCACCGCTCCCTCTCTCAGGGAGGCATTTATGGCCCCCAGGGCCCGGGTGCGGATCCCCTCCCAGATCTTCCAGTAAGCCAAGCTGGCAAGGATTGAGCCAGCGGGGGAAGGCCGGACTAGGACCTGGCCACGCGACTGGGCCACGGAGGCAGGCAGCATCCGCTGGGCCCGGGACCGCTCGCCTGTTCGTCACTTCCGAGAAGGGGCAGCCCCCCAGGGCAGCGCTTCTGCCCACACAAAATCGCAGGGCGCCACTGCAGACGGGCGGTGGCACCGGCCAGATGCTCGATGCCCTGGCGGGCTCCCCCGGAAACTCCGGTGCACCGTCAGGCGCTCGCCTTCGCACCTGTGCGCCACCATTTCGGTTAGTGGGATTGTCGCACTGGATACTGCCCAGGATCTTGAGCTTCGTCTCTTGTCCCCGCCGTTGTTCATTCTGCCATTATACTTACTGCATTTCTATACTGCCCACAGTCAAAGCTCTCGGGATCGCTTGCAGCGTGACGTTTGATTCAAGTTCTCTCTCTCACTTCCAGAAAACATCCATTCAGGCATGTGCATCTGCCATTTGCCTTGGCAATGAAGACAAACACCCCCAAATCCGGTTTTCCTGCAGTGCCGCCTCCTTATACTCCGGCCGCGTGTTTTGCGCTCTCTTCTCGTCCTCCCATGCGCAGAGCATCTTGCCAGGATCTCCTGTCTCCAATACGTTTACCGGGTTCTAGTGCTGCTCTTACTATAATTCCCAGCTTTATGGAACAGCAGAGCTGGAGCGGGCCAGCGAGCCGTCGGGCGACGCTCGGCCCCGCCGGGGCTCCCGGCCGAGGGCTGCCCACAGTGCCCCGAAAGCCTCCGGCGCAGGAGCCCTCCAGCAGCTCGTTTGCATCCCGGTTCTCTCCGCGCGTTTCCTGCTGGCCTGCTCTCTCCCTCGCCTTTTCTCCTCATTTGGGCGTGAAGGCAGCCATTTTCCGCTCTCTCCGGTCTAACGGGCTTGCTCGATCCGCGGAGGCCCTCGCAGGCGCTTCACGGTCTTGCCTGAATTGTGGCGCTCATTCTTGCTCCGCCTCCGTCATTGTGCTTTCAAGTAGCTCCTGCTCCCAAAAGCGTCCTGGAGAGATTTCAGAAGGCCAACTCTCCGTTCCAAGTTTTAAAGTTTCCTCCTCTGAGGTCGAACACGACTGCGCTCTGTTTCCTCGGACATTCCCTGCCGTGCAAGGCATTGCTCCGGTCTGAGGTGGGGCACTTGAAGCGCTGCTGCAATCTGTTCTCCTTTGGGGGTCTCCTTGAGTTGGTTCCCCACCGAAATGCTCCCAGCATGTCGGTCCAGCGGGGAGCGAGGTGTGCTCCGCACGGAGCGGCTTTTCCCAGTGGCGGGTCCCAGGCGAACGCTGCTTCATGGAGGCACACGGGCCTCTGCCACCGTCGTGCGGTACCGACCTGGAGTTGGCGGTGTTTTGCTGGGCACGCATTCCCACAGCTGCCTGCAGGGCCCACAGCCTCCAGCTTCTCTCCGTAAAGCAAGCCGCCTGTGCCCCCATCTTGGCGTGGGGCTCCTGCCAATGCACACGCAGGGGACCCTTTCCCACCACACTTGATGACGAGTTGGGTGCAGCATTTGGGACCCTCATCTGTTCTTTACGGGGGGTGGGGGCAGCTGGGGTGCCCCGTGTGCCTTGTCTGCTCCCTCCATGGAGCTGGAAACGGCACATAGTCGGCGGCATGGCCGTCCCCAGCATGCAGCCTCCCAGCCCCCCTCCCCCCCCCAGCCCTGTTCGTGCAAAGGGCCCGCTTCGTTCCCACAGTGACTTGGAAAGGGTCGCTGGCAGGGGGGCATTGGACAGCCTTCCTTTCTTCCGGAAAAGAACCTATTTTGCTGCCGTGCGCCCCCAGTTCTCTTCCTGGGTCCTTCACCTCCATGGGGGACTGGAGCCAGTCCCCCCCCCCCCGCAGAGGGTGCCACCCACAGCCGTCTCCGGGCCCTTTTGGCTCATCCTGCCTGGCACCTTGAATGTCGCTGCAGCCTCCGGGCAAGCGCTCAGGCGCTCCTGAGGAGAGAGCGGCGGGACGGGTGGGGGCGGAGGCAGAAGGAAGCAGCACTGATTGCGACCTGCCCCCGCGTGTGGCGGGCCGCATCCTGCAGCAGCCATCCTCGGGCAGAGGATGCCCTGCACCTCAGGTGCCGGCCTGACAGCCGCTGGCCTGGCCTGGGTGCTGAGGAGGGCGTACGTGGCCACCGAGTCCCTCGTCGCCCGTGTTTTGCAAGGGAAACAGGGCTGTGAGTGTTCGAAACACCCTGCGGGGGCTTGGGCCAGCCGGGCCCCCCCATGAATACACCCCAAAGTGAGGCCAGCCCAGGGATTGGGCCGGGAAAGCCCCATCCAAACTGTCCTGTGCCGGCAGCCCTCTGAGGAGTCCCGGGTGCTGTGACCTGCCTCGCGGCTCCGGGAGGGATGGCTTTGCCCAGGAGCCTGGGTGCCAGACGCCCCAGCACGGGAAGGGGCCGGGCCGGGTGGGGGGTGACGAGGGCCGGTGCCCTCAGCTGCATCGCCCTGCTCCCCCCGGCACTTGCCCGCCTGCCGCCCGCTCTCCCACCGCTGGCCAAGCCAAGCCAGCATTGATTCCCAGGCAGCGCAGCGGACAAGGGCAGTCCCCGAAGCAAAGTCATGTGCTGCCTGACCCCGGGGACCGAGAGCGCATCGACTTCGAGTTTGCTCAAGTGACGCCGCCCGGGGCTGTGGGGCCGCGGCTCGATTTGCGCAGCTGCCTGCCCCCCCCCCCCCCGGCTGGGCACGGCGGGGCACGTGGGGGAGGCCGCCCCCTGGCCGGCCTGTCCGACAGGCTGGAGGCCTGAGCGGGGCATGCAAGCGAGGCCAGCGCCTGGCCTCGCACCGCCTCTTCGGAGGCCGGCCGCTGAGACCCGTGGTGCACGGCACCGGGCGGGCAGGGAGGGAGGGAGGGAGGGGCCTCTGCGCGGGCCGGCAGCCACTTCCTGCCCCTGCCCCTGCCCCTGCCCGCCGGCTGACTGCTCTCCACCCCGCTGCTTCTCCGCAGGTGGAGGTGGAGGTGGAGAGCATGGACAAGGCCGGGAACTTCATTGGGTGGCTGCACATCGACGGTGTCAACCTCTCGGTGGCCCTGGTGGAGCAGGCGCTCTCCAAAGTGCACTTCACGGCGGAGCGCAGCAACTACTACAAGCCCCTGGTGGCCGCCGAGGAGGCCGCCAAGCAGAAGAAGGAGAAGGTACGTGCGGCCGCTCCCCGGGCCCTGGGCGCAGAACGAGCCCCAGCGAGCCGCCGGCGCTCCACGAGGCAGTGGGCAGGTGGAGCGAGCTGCAGGGGCGGAGGCTCGGCAGACGGAACCAGGCCCCCCGGGAGCCCAGCTGGGCTGCTCCCACCCAGGAGCGTCGCACAGGCAAGAAGCGGTTGGCCCCCAGCAAGGGGCCCCGCTGGCCTCCTGGCTGAGCCTGGGCTGCCCACACGGGACGTGCCTGGACCGCCTCCGTCTCCGGCTGCTGGGCAGAGCCTGCCCTGGGGGCAGCAGAGGCAAGGGGCGAAGGCCAGCAGCCGTGGGCATATGCGCCGGCCTCTCCCAGCCCCCCTGCCAGCACCCAGGCGCCCGTCCCTGTGCCCCCAGGCCAGATGGCTGGCTCGGCTGGAGCAGAGCGGAGGGGTGGGCAGCCACTCACGGGGGCGGGGGGGGCGGGGAGGCGCGCACGCCTGCCTTTTCCTGCAGGAGCAGCCTCTTTGCAGGAGAGCGCTGGCTTCCCCGGCTGCGTGGAGCGAGTTCCTGCGGGAGCGCTTTGCCTGGGAAGCGCTGGCCCCCGAGGGCTCCATGCATGGCTTGCCTTAATTCCTCCATTAATTAAATCAGCGGCAGTTTTGGCGCTGGGGGAGCGTCGCGCCTGTGGGGCTGGGACGGGAGCGGTGGGTAGTGCTGCACACGTGCCCTGGGCCGGGGCCGCGCTCCCGTCCCTGCCGCACGAGCCAAGACGACGGGCTCGCCCGGCTGGCACGTCCCTGCAGGCTCCTGCCCGTGTCCCTGGGGCCTCGGAGGGGAGGGCCCCGCAGTCCGGGGCCACCCTGGGCTCCCCGATGTGCCCCCTCCCCGCGTGCGTCTGGCCGCCGTCCCTTCCTGGCCGGGCGCCGGTGCCGCCCTGCAGACGCGTGGCAGCCGCAGCCTCCTCAGCAGAGGCCCCCTGCCCCATGTCCCACGCGGGCCCAGATGGACCTGGGCGAGACCCAACAGGCTGCGCTGCGGTCAGGCGGGGCTGCCTTTGTGGCACGGCGTGGCGCATCGGCCCTGGACCAGGGCCGCCCAGCCGGTCCGCCCAGCGGCTGGTTAATCTTGCCTCCCAGCTTAAGCCTGGAGACGCGATCCTCCCCCTGGGGTACCCCGGCTGGCCCGCTAAGCCAGCGAAGACGGAGTCCCGCCGTGGTTGGGGGTCCGTAACTGGGCCCCCATGCCCGGCTGGCCATCATGTAGGACTCCCTGACCCACGACAGCCCCCCTGCCTTCACAGCAGGCCCTGCAGGGACCCCTTTGTCTCTGCAGCCAGAGGGGCACCCGCAACGCCACCCTTACCCCACCCCGAAACCTGCCCAGATCCAGAGTGACAACGTGCCCCTTCCTAACGTCTCACACAAGGCCAGAAGCCTGCAGGTCTCTTCCTCTCCCTTCACTGCCCACCCCCACTTGCCAGAACCCGCCGCCACCGGCCTCCTGCCCCTCCTCCGGTCTCACACGGCTCCAGCGCTCCAAGGCGGCAACCTGGACGCCCCCCGCTGCTCACCTGCACCACCCCAGCCAGGGCAGTCGCCGGTGGCACCAGGCCTCTTCCTGTGTTGCGGCTGCCTTAGCACTTCGGGTCAGCCTCAGTCATTAGAGTTGGGGGTCTGCATGAAGGAAATTTAACTCTGTAAGTGCCTATTGGTCTTCAGTCCCCTTGACCCCCTCCCCCCGAGCTGCTGGGCATCCAGTGCCCAGTGCTCTCTCAGGTCTTCCTCCTCGGCTCTGCCTCCAGCCCCACAGCAGCCTCGCCGCCCTCCTCTGGCCCTGCCTGGCCCTTCTGCTTCTTTTTAAAGCTTCGGACTGGGCTCAGGGCTCCAGGTGAGGTCCGCCCCGTGCCGAGCCCAGGGGAACTGGCGCGATTCTTTTGGCTCCTTTTCCAAGTGGAGGACGTGGCATTTGTCCCGCTGAATTCCGCCCTGCGGCTCCCTGCCCAGCATTGCTGCCCATCGGGATCAGCCTCTGTCTTGTCTGCCGGAGCAGGTGCTCTTCACCCAGCTTTGTGTCATCTGCAAATTTAATTCTCCTTCCTTGCGCTTTCCCATCTAAATCATCAATGAAAATACGGGCAGGGGCCAGTCCCAGGACGGGGCCCTGCGGCACCGCACTTGTCGCCCCTCGCCTCTGAAAGGCCCCATCACGCACACCCGGGTGACGTGTCCGGAGACGCGGGAGCAGGCCCTGTGCCCCACACACGCCCTTCCTGCTGGCCCGGGGGGTCCTGCCCGTCACGCGCCGGCACAGGAGGCACCCGGCATGCAGCCCCTGGGCCCCCCTTGGAGCCCTGTCCGGGGGGGGGGTCACCACCTGCAGCCCTTCGGCCACCCGGCTCTCCCCCATTTCCCCTTCTGGGGCAGCGGCCAGGCTGCCGAAACGGGGGCAGGCCAGGCACCCCTCAGGCCCGTCGAGGGCCGTTCCTCCCAGGCAGGCAGCGTTGGCCCAGGACGGAAGGGGCCCCGGCCAGGCAGGACTCCCCGGGGCCCTTCCAGCGCTCGCCCATCGGCACGGCTGCTGGGAGCAGGACAGGAGGCCGGGTCTGGGGTCCCGGAGACCTCCCAGGATCGCACCCCCACCCCGCGGGGGACGGGCGTCCTGGCAAGGCCGCGCTTGAGCCAGCCCCTTCCCTCTGCTCCTTCGGCTCACCAGACTGAGCGAAGCAGCTCACGAAGGGCAGTCCTGCTGTTTGAACCCGCAGACCGCAGAGCAGGGCAAGCGGCGGAGCTGCGGAGCAGCAGCTGTCCAGGTGCGAGCTCCCCCCCAGCCTGGGGGGGCTCAGCGGCTGAGGGCCTGGTGGCGGGGGTGCCGGGTTGCCCGCCGTTGCCTGCGGGCCTCTCCCACCGCCTCCGCACTGGGCCGAGGACGGGGTCTCGCCTCGGAAGGACCCTGCCCCCCAAAGCAGGCCGCTTCTCACGCTCGCCTGGCAGCGTCACTCGGTGCCCCCCCAGTCGGGGACGGCCGCCCCGCGCGGCTCTCCGGCCCCTCCATGCACCAGGCGGCTCCCCACAAGGGAGGGACGGTCCGCTCCCCACATCCGGCTTCACGCTCCCCGGTGCCTCGGAGTGCAGGCAGGCGTGTGGCGGGAGAGTGCGCGCGTGTGTGTGCGTGCACGGGAGGGCCATGCGCACGCTCCGCGCACCGCTGGGCCGCTCACCCGCGACTCGATTGGACCTGACAGCTGTCTGCTCGAATCAGCGCCGAGGCTCCGTGCTCCTGTTGCGCGGCTGCTGGGGCAGGCCGCCACCTGGCGCAGGGCATGGGGCACGGGCGCGGGGCGGGCTGAGCTCATGTGGGGCCGGGGGCCCCCGCCCAGGCTCCCCCCCAGCCTGTCTCGCCAGCGAGCTGTAGCCCAGATCTGGGGCCCAGCAGCTCCCTCTGGGGTGCATGCCCCTCCCTGCCTCGCTGCACCCCACAGACATGCCAGGCCGCTCTGGCTGGCAGAGGCCGCAGCCGCCTGGAGCCCCCAGCCCCGAGCGGCAGCCGCTGCCTGGCTGGCCTAGGACAGCCCCGGCTCCCACTCGGGTCGCCCACCCGGGCTGTGCGGGAGGGCCAGCCTTCCCCGGGCCGGGCTTGGGGGCAGGTTCCCCGCGGGATGCTCCCAAGCTGGGAGCCGTTCCTGCCCAGGGCTGCCCCGTCCCAAGGAGGACGCCCCCGCAGTGGCAGCGCCCGCCTGGCCTGGGGGCCGGCCGGTCCCCAGCCTCCTCCCAGGCCGTCCCGGGCCAGCCGCCGCAAACCCCGCAGAGCCGCGGCTGCCGGCCTGGCCTGGCCGGGTCCTGCCGCCGGGGCAGAGCTGGCGGAGGGGCACGGCCCGGAGGCGGGGCAGCCCCGGCCTCCTGAGCGCCACCGGGGCTCCTGCCCTGCATGCCCCCCCTCGGCCCACACACGAGCCACGTGCCCTCCCCGCCAGGTGTGGTCGCAGTACGAGGAGGCCCCTGCGGAGGACGTGGTGGCCGTCCCCGAGGAGAAGGAGCGCAGCGTCAGCCACAGGCCTGTTTTCGTCACCGAGATCACGGACGAGCTGCACTTCTACGTGCAGGACGTGGAGACAGGTGAGAGGCGGGGGCGGCGTTTCAGGAACAGAGAAGCGGTGTGGCGGGGTCCTCTAGCCGTCTAGTAAGACCCCCGGCTCTGCTGACGAGACGCCTGCCCGGTTCATGGTCAGCCTCTCCTTTGCACCACGGCGCCCATCGGCCCCAGCCCCCACTGCCGACCCGGGCCTCAGGAGGCCTGCGTCTCCCCCCAGGGCCCCAGGGCGTCTCGGCCCCTCCGGCCCCTCCATCGGTCCTCTGGCCACAGCCAGGCTCCCCGGGCGGCTCGCTGCGGCTGGGGCCCTCCAGGGCGCGGCCCCTTCGGCGGCACTTCTGTGGCGCCTGGGTCTGTTCCACAGCGGAACCATGGCCTGATCCAGGCTGCCCGCTCCCACGTGGAGAGCGAGGAATGTGGCCGAGCGCCCCGTGGAGCCTGCCTCCAGCACGGAGTGCACCTGGCCGCTGGGCAGAAGCGAGGCGGGCGAGGGGCCACCGGGGGCGCGCTCACGCCTGGTCACAGGCAGGAGAAGAGACGGTCCATCGGGGCCCCGGGCCCCATGCTGCTCGAGCTCAAGCGCCTGGCCCGGAAGGGGCTGTCGGCCACTGGCCCGCAGCGGGGCCCCCCCGGGCCCAGGCTCGGCCAGCCGCCCGCTCCAAATCCTCGGGCCTCAGCGCCTGAAATGCGCCCGAGGAAACCGGACCAGGCGATGCTCTGGATGGCTCTGCTCGGAAGAGCATTAATGGGAGGGGGGATTTACAGTGGATCTGTGCAGCTTCTCAAAATGCCTCCCAAACGGGTCGTGGGTGTACTGAGAGTTCCCCCTGTTCTCTCCCCGGCCAGAGAGCAGTCGGCCACAAGCCGGGCATGGCCTCAGCGGAGCCGGCTGGAGCCGGGGGTCAGACTAGATGGCCTGGGAGGACCCTTCTGACTCGCTCTGCCCCTGCGTTTCTGTGCCCCCCATGGGATATGATCACACCAGCAGGGCCGGGGAGCACCCGAGTTTCTCTTCCATTATGGTTTTGCCTCATGACCCACGAGGTCCCAGAGGCCAGCAGGGCAAGCGAGCCGGCGCCTGGGCCGTGCGTGCGTGGAAGCAGGGACCTGCCAGGCTGACCCCCCCCCCCAGCCTCCCCTGCAAGCACACGGCCGCTGCAAGGGGCGCTGCTCCGAGGGGCGGCCTCCACCCGGCCGGGATCAGGATCAGGGCCTGCAGAGCTGACCCCCCTCCTCCCAAAGGAACGCAGCTGGAGAAGCTGATGGAGACCATGCGGAGCGAGCTGGCCGCCCGGCCACCCGTGGAGGGCTCGTACACGCCGCGCCGCGGGGACTTCTGCATCGCCAAGTTTGTCGACGGAGAGTGGTACGAGGGCCGGGCCGGGCGGGGTGGGGCGGGGCAGGGGCCCGGGGGGCCGGGGCCGGAGCAGGCCAGCCGCCCGCTCTCCCGTCCTGCGCGTCTCGGCCCGCGGAGCCCGAGAGGCCGGCCGGCCCTGCTGCTCGCCCTGCGCACGGCTGCCCCTCCTGCGTGGCCTGGCGCGTGGGGCCTGCCGTGGACGAAGGCCAGCCCCACACGCGTCGCCATGGGGCCCGTCCCAGCGACCCTGCCATGGCCTGCAGTGCGGGGCCCCCACCCCCTGCCTTGCTCGCCCTTCCTCAGACGCCATTTCCAGAGCTGCAGGTCCCCCCCAGCACCTGTTCCTCCAACACCGCCCCCCCCGCCACTTCTTGAGGCCATCAGTCGGCCTGGGCCTTGCAGTGGGGGTGGGGGGGCCTTGCAAGCCAAAGCAGGAGGCAGGCGGGGGGGGCACCTTCAGTGCCAATGGAGCCGGGCTCAAGTGGGTGGCGAGGGGAAGCGGGCGTGCAAGGCTGGGGGCTCCGGAGCGCAGCGGGGGCGGGCCGGGGAGGCAGCGCCAGGCAGCAGCACCTCGGGGCCTCCGGGGGAGCAGCCCTGGGCGGCCTCTGGCAAGAGAAGAGGCGGAAGGGGCTTTCTCCGGGCCGGACGGGGGGAGGGAACGTCCCGGGCATCCCAGAGCGGCGGGGAGGGGAGGGGAGGGGCCGGGGCATGTCGTCCAGAGAGGGGCCCCTCCACTGGCAAAGGGGGCCTGGAGCAGGAAGGCAGGGAGGACGCGCCCCGGCCCAGCCCTGGCCCTCCTGCCCGTGCCCCATGCCCGCCATGCGCCTCCCCCCTCGGTCTGTGGCTGCCGCCAGGTCTCCCCCGGGCTCACCGCTCGTTCTTCCAGGTACCGAGCGCGTGTGGAGAAGGTGGAGGCCGCGAGCAAAGTGCACGTCTTCTACATCGACTATGGCAACGTGAGTGGCCTCGGGGGGGGGGGGGGGCAGCCACTCAGACAACCCCCGCCCCACACGCACAGACGGGCCTGGGGCAGCCTCTGCTCCCTCTGTGCCTGGAAGTGCGCTGGCTGCTTCCGGGGCAAAGGGAGCCGAACCCGCACGGCCCTCCCCCCTGCCCGGTCTGGCCTCGGGGGCCCAGAAGGGTGGGCCCGGGGATGCCCCGGCCGGTGCCCCAGCAAGCGGATTCCGCCACATTTCTGTCACGGATCCAGCATGAGGCAAGAGGGAGAGAAAGCCCTTCCCCCCCGACACACCACGCACCGTTTCGGGCAGCTTTGTCCGGACTGCAGTCGCTGGACAATCCCAGCTGCCGAACCCCTCCTCTCGGAGGAGCCGCTGCCCTTCTCTGCCCCTTTCCCAGGTCACACGATCAGAGAGTAGAAAGGGGCCCCTGCCCAGCGCAGGTCCTCGGGGGGAAGTGCCCCGGGCAAGGGCTGCCCAGCTGCCTCCGGGGTGGGAGAGGCCACCCCCCAGGCCGCGGCCCCACTGCCGAACTGCCTGGCGCTCTGCTCTGGGGAGGTGTTGCCCTGCTGTCCAGGGAATCCGGCTTCCCATAGCTTGACCCCTGCACTCCAGACGAGGCGAAGGCCTCCTGGCCCTCCAGCGCAGCACTGTGGCCTGCCCAGTATTTGAGCAATGCTGCCGTATCCTCCCCGGTCTTTTCTGCTCAAGGCTCCTCCAGGCTCTCCTCTCAGGGCTCGGCTTCCGGTCCCTGTGTCGTCCTGGTTGCTCCCACCTGGACTCTTCCGGCGTCTCTGCCTCTTCCTGGAAGTGTGGTGGCCAGAGCAAGATGGCGCCTGACTGGCGTGGAGCGGAGGGCAGCCGGCGCCGCACGGTGCCAGTGACGCGCCGCCCTCGTTGCAGCCGCAGCACACCATCGGCTCACGTTGGCCTCGTGTCTGCGGCAATCCCAGGCTCCTCCTCGCTTGCGGCACTTTGAGCCTGGTGCCCCTGTCTTGAACCGTGCGCCGGCTGCCTTCTCCGGGTGGAGCTCAGCGTTCGTCCCAGCCGAATTTCCTTTCATCCGGCTGCTTCCAGCCCACCGAGACGCCTTTGAGCCTCCTTCCGTCTGCCGGGCGTTCGCTGTCCCACCCTGTTTTGTGTCACCTGCCCGTTTGGAAGGCGTTCCCGGCTCTTCCTCAATGCGGACGCAGAGCGGCTCTGGGCCCAGGCCTGACCATGGGCGGCCGACTAGCCGCCCCTGCCCAGCCAGAGCGTGTCCCTCGCAGGCGTGGCAGCAGAGCCGCACACCCCGTTCCGAGTGCAGCCGCACTACCGATTTCCGTAAGCAGAGTGCGGTCCCGGCAGCTTTACTGCCCGTTCCGTTCCAAACTCTGCCGAGGATGGCGCTGGCCTTCCCCACGGCAGCCGAGCCCTGGGCTGGCGCTTCCACAAAGCCGCCCGCCGCCCCGCCAGGGCCCCTGCCGGGCTGCCCAGGTCCCGCCGGGGCAGACCTGGGCTTGGGGCCCCGGCGTGCATCGCTCTGCACTTGCTGCCCTGGGCTGCCCCGGCCCCTTCGATGCCGCGTCTCCCGGCCGGGACGGGCCCCTTGGCAGCACCTCGCGGTCCCTCCCACGTTTAGGTGCCCTTCTGTTGTGAGCACGGTCATCGTCATCGGCAAACTGGCCGCTTCAGTGCTCAGTCCAAGTCCGGAGCATGGATGGATCGGCCCAAAGCACCAGGCCCAAACGGACCTGTGTGCGCGTCGCTTGCACCGGGAGACGTGCCCTGCGCTCCCCGCCTTTGCTCTGTGCCTTCTCCAGTTACTGGCCCAGAGGGGGCCTCCCCTGCACTTCCGGGATCGCTCCGTTTCCTCGGGAGTCTTTGGTGAGGGACGTCATCAAATTCCAGCTCCAGGTGCAAATACTCCTGGCGCTCCAGCTCAGCTTGACCACTGATTCACGCGACTCGCGTTCATCCGTCCGTTTGCGCAACGTACTCAGTTTTCGTCAAGAAAGGGCTTGCGAGGGCCCCTTGCTCAGCCGCCCTGTGTTGTTTCGGAGGGTCTCCCTGGACTTCTGGACGAAAGCCCCCCCACACACACACACACACAGCACTGCAGGAAGGCCCGCCTTGCCGTGGGACTGGGGCCTCCCCACAGTGCTGGGCGTGGCTTGGGGATGCGTTCGGGGCAGGCAGCCAAAGCTGCGGCGGGGAAGGCTGGCCAGGCCCGATCCCCCGTGAACCGGCCCCGCTCTCTCTCCAGAAGGAGACGCTGCCCTCCGCCCGCCTGGCCGCCCTCCCGCAGGCGTTCAGCACCCGCATCCTGCCCGCCCAGGCCTCCGAGTACAAGTTCGCCTTCATCCAGGTGCCGCAGGATGTAAGTCCCCGCCAGGGCCGCGTGGCGCGACGGGAGGGCGGCCCGTGCTCTGCCCGGCTTCGCCTTTGCCCGGGAAGGGGCGGCCCCAGAGGGCCCATGGCACAGCGGGGGAAGCCGGCAAGCCGGGCGCATCCCTGGAGGGGAGGTCTGCGCGGAAGGGAGCTCCCCCTACCCAGCAGAAGGGCTTCACGTGCCGGGGCGGCCTGGGGCTTCATCCCCGGAGGGTGGGGGCCCGGAGGACGCCAGCTGGCCCCAGCCCAAGCAGGATGGAGCAGCCCAGCGAGCCCCCGCTTCCAGGGCCAGCCGGGGGTGGGGGGTCCATGAGGGGCTGGGGAGCCCCACCTCCGCATCCCGGGGGCTGCTGCCGGAACCAGGGCGGTGGGCGGGCGCCCCCGGCTCTGAGCCAGGCTGGCAACCCCTTCCTGTTCGCAGGAGGAGGCCCGGGCAGATGCGGTGGACAGCCTGGTCCGGGACATCCAGAACACGCAGTGCCTGCTGAATGTGGAGCACGCCGGCCCCGGCTGCCCCCACGTCACGCTGCAGTTCGCCGACTCCAAGGGCGACGTGGGGCTGGGGCTGGTGAAGGAGGGGCTGGTCATGGTGGAGCCGCGCAAGGAGAAGCAGTTCCAGAAAGTGGTGAGAGGCTGCCCGGGCACGGCGCCCCCAGAAGCGCTGCAGGCGGGCGGGGGGCCGGGGCCGGGTGGACCCCCGGCTGGGCGGTGCGCCTTCACCTGCCTTCTTTCCACAGATTACGGAGTACCTGAATGCCCAGGAGGTGGCCAAGAGTGCCCGGGTAGGTTGGCTTCCCCACACGTTCCTGTGCGGGGGGGGGGGGGG